TTGCGTTGAATGTTGTTTCCAGTGATGTTGATATGGTCTAATTATGGAATCCGATACTTCATGGGGAATTCTACCGGGAAGTAAGCAACCTCTACTTTGGTCAATTATGTCCTTAACATTTGTTGTTTCCTTGATAAATGCCTCATTACTTAGCGAATCTTCATGTTTCTTTACCTGGATTTCATAATTAAGCAATTACGTTAAATAGTCGAACTTGCGAAAACAAAAACATAAATTGCTTACAATTTCCATGGTGGTTACGATGATTGAATTATACGTCTCATTATGGTTTACTGCGGGAATATTTTGCAAAACGTCTACAAGAAGCATTTCCTGTCTATCTCCAAAACCCGGCCGCGTTAAGACAAACGCCGGTCTTTCGTTTTCGATTACCCTATTATATTCATTCAGCTGTCTTCTTATTTTTTTCCACAAACTGTCATTTTCGTTGTTCAAATCAGTTACAGTGTTAAGCTTATGACAAAGTTTATTTTCACACATGTTTGTAACTCTGTTGATTTCGAATTGGGCATTAACGAGAGGTGGCGGTAATTCGTTCAATTTACCATTCGCCTGATAAACGCACAAACCATCTTAGTAAATACTAACAGGAAGAAGCCGTTATATGCCAACCACCCATAGTTTTATTCTCTTACCGCTATTAATCTTTTGCTTATCTCATCCGTAAGTGTAGGAATACTTTCTCTGATTTTTTCTATGAGTAAATTTTCCAGCCTTGTCCTCAGCTTTTGTACCCCGAGTTTGTCTTTAAAAGTTGACGAACACCATGGTTGAGTGTTTTCAAACCACTATGATAAAAACATCATATTAATAAAAGTCGATCAACCTTTTATTTCCCACTGATATTGGTTGCTTACCTGTTTCTCTTCCTCCCTAGCCTGGATAAATGTCACTCCCTTGATTAATTTTGCTTGATCTGGATTCATTACTACGAAATAGTCTGGTCCTGATAAATTTTCGAGTTTCGGTAACCATTTTCCATGCGTTTTTTCCTCGATACGGTCTGGTTTTGTTAGGACAAACACCGTACGGTTCTTGTACGGATCGACTTCGTTGATTATATTATGAATACCTTGGTGTTCGTCTTCCGAATCGCAAGGAATGGTAGCTACAATTATAGATTCGGGTTTTTCTACATAGTTTCTAGTGAGTGTTTTTATCGTAGCAACAAGTTGCCGCGAAACTTCTGATGATACGTTTTTAATGTGTTCTATTTAACGGCAGATAAATTAGAACTTTTTACTTCAAAACACGTACATAATTCAGGCTATGTGTAACGTACCCACAATTCCTGGTAAATCAACCAGACTTAAATTAGGAACGTTTGGTCCCTTAATAGACAAACAAACCGTATTCATCGTAAACTCAATCTCATTCGTTTCCTTTCTCGACCCATCAAGCGGTTCGTGATCGAGATAGAGATCAAACACTTTGCTTGGGTTGAGGAGCGCTTTCTGGGCACGATATGCCATTAATTCAACGTCACTTGGATCATGTATAGCTTCGCCAAACCAAAGATTTTCCCTGCGAGCATCTGGGAGTGGGTCGTTGTTTTTATCATATTCTACACGCAGAGAGATTCTGCACTCCCAACCGCTGGTTTTGGTGTTTCGTGCATGCGAATCTCCATAACACAACGCGTACACGTTTCATGCCATCTTGGAAGCTAAGAAAAAAAGAACATATACGCAATATTGATAAATAGGATAATAAGCGACGAACAGTTTTGTAACAAATACGTGATAACATATGCATATCTATACTTTTTACATTACCTGAACATTAGCAATTGCCTCCAATAAACTGCTCTTTCCAGCCGATTGATTTCCACAAAACACGATTTTCGGAAATTCAACAAAATCTTTGGCGTATTTCGCTTCCATACTATTAACAAGTTGAATATACTTGGCAGTTTGTTCCGTATACGTTTTGTTCATAAGAACTACGTTATTTTGTTTATTGTAGTATCCGTTAGTTTGAGCGTATTTAAAAATTGACATTGTGACGATAACAGTGCCGATAATGTCCAAAACCGAGTAAATTCTTGACGGTTTTATAACTATTTGCTTGCTGTTCGGCGTAAAAAAAATTCTCAGTGGCTCAGTCGATTTTCAAATCTCGGGATAACAGAGTCGATGAGGGTTTAACCCGTTTAACATTACAGTTTTGTGTTTGTGATAATACATTAGTCCAAAGATAAACGCACAAACGGGGTTGATAAAGTATGTTTGACGTTTGTTTTTGTAATAAAACAAATGTTATATACGTCTATTGACAGTTTTATTCTTTTTCGTATACATATACATGGACGCGAATTAATACTTAAATAGTGATGCGTCACTAGACTAGACATTAATAGTACACTCACTCGGGTCGATAAAACAACGTTTGAGTAATGGAATCTTCTACGCAGATAATAAAATTTATACAGTGATTGTTCAGTGATATTAATATGGTTAGAGTTCGCATTTCTCTTCTTATTATTCAATGTTCATTGTTATCGTCACATGTTCGGCCATAATAATAATAATCATGATAATGCAGTAATAATCATCATTATAATCAGAATCAGAATAATAATAAATAATAGCATCATCATAATCAAAATCATAATCATAATCATAATCATAATAATAATAATAATCATAACAAACAACAATAGCGGGCAAATCTGGAGTAGCTTATCAATAACCGAGGAAGGCATAGTTTGCGTAGTTTGCAATACTCCCATACTAAACTCGATGAATAAAATCACTCTAAGATAAAATAATCACACTAAGGTTGAAGAATTTTCCGCCCCGAATTTTTATATTAAAAATACCTTGTAAGATAACAAGAATTCTCTCACGCTTTTAACAACTTCATAAGTCGAATATCTCTTTAAATTTCTTTAAAGAATATGTGTTGCCGAACTATCTTAATTCTTGTTGTGAATATGCATACGTACGTACCTACTGTTGGTCCTTCTTATTAAGAATAAACACTGGAATATAATTTTAGCAGTAAAAGCCTCCGATTTGTTACGAAAGTTACGTGAACAAGACTACAAAAGATGAACTCGGTGAAATTTACATCGAGTATTGACTGTCAAGTAATTGAAACCACAAGCAGTCACCGTGTTGATGCAGCAGTATAATACTTATATTAGCGCAGAGGTCAAGTAAATTTATTAACATTACCACATTATATTTAAAAATAGAATATGTGAGACTTTATTAATACTGGGGCGGAGCGAAAAGTTTGATACGCAGATTGCTCATAGTAAAACTTTTTACTAAAATTACTGGCTTATTGCCTTGTCTTCGGGATTTATTCTGATATAATTTTTAGCAGTTTATTATATGCAACCTTTTTTTTTCATCAAACTTTTGCAATTCATCATCATCAGAATCACTTTCAGCATGATTTACATAGTAACGACGAGCGTACTATGTCCCTGTGTAAGAACAACATCTTCATGTGGAAGCCAGGTTGAGCTGCGAGTGTGATGAAGATGACAGTACGATTCATCAAGGAAAACTTCTGGCTTGATTAAAACATTGTTTCTGCCTTGCAAATTGTTGAAGCGCTTGCATAGTAACTGCCACTTACATAGTGTGTGACCATGCTCAGCATTAGCATTTACCGTAATATAGCAGTGTTTGCTGTTCTATAACTTCAGCAACATCACAATGCGGTTCCATTCTGGGTCAACCTATTGTCTTGTGGGTGTGAACCGGCCATCATTCCGGTAATACCACGAGCAATCGTTGCTTCTCCAATCCCAAGAGCTGGTAGGAGTTCTCGTTGCTTTGCGCTTGTGTGATACCCCAAAAAATACTGGTGGGCAGTTACGATCATTCGTCATTCATTATCCATCAAAGGACTTTATGTCCGTTCCAACGATGTCATACCAGCGGGACGCACCTAAACCTCGCACAGAATAAAAAAAAGGTCTTCAAAAAAATTCTCCTACAATTTCAGGTTACATTATGACGTAAATTCTCATGACACAAAAGAAGAATTTCGAGATGGCAGATTTGGTGTATCAAACTTTTTGCTCCGCCCCAGTATTAATACTATTTCAAAACTTGTAAGAAACAATTGCCCAAGTCGACATAATAGACAAACATACACGCACTTTATTAATTAATATTCACATTTATATTATGTACATATCGAATAACATGCAGATGCGAAATATCAGGATTGTTCCTATCATTAGGTTATATAACAGGATCATATCCCTTTTCTGTCTGAGCTTTGTATAATGCATTTGCATATTTTTTTTTCGATCAAGTTGTTGAAAACAAGGAGTGGAAACCACCACAGGCAAGATAAAGAACCACATTACGCCAATTAACATCATATAATGAATGAATGTGAAGGACAAAAGTATGCGACGCGCGTTATAAGAGGGCGGATTTGATATGGTTCACGTTCATCAGTATTATTGTTAGTGTTTTGGAATTTATGTCCATCCGAACGGATATATGTCAGGTTGGAATTTATGTCCGTTCCGAACTGACATTTATTTCAGATTGAAATAAGAAAGACAATCAGAGAATAACATTATAAAAGTACTTCGTTGACATTACAATATTAACCCTACTTTGCGCATAAACAACTGGGTTTGTTATAATATATATGTTATTTTAACGTCTGTAATTTAGCATGGAATAATATACTGTGTAAGCGCAAGTAACTTGTGGTATTATGTCTTTATATTACATCACTTGAATCATGCGTCATGAACAATAATATTCCTTGTTACAATTATTACGGTGTCAATTATGAAAAGTTTCCGTGTACTATGTTTCATAATAATAACTTCTGTTAATTCCCAAAACCGCATTTACATGCGTAAAACGTTAACGTTTATTTCAAAGACATTGCACAGCATGCATCACTATCGTAAGGAGAACCGTATAACATCCGATCAAATAACGTTTAATCTGCATAACCTGAAGTAATGCTGAAGAAAGATTCAGAAGAGTGGCGTAAATTATCTTTTTCTACTATTCACAAAATGATTCATTCAATGAAATAATTGAAACATTCGATAAAGCGTTAATATAGTGATCACTAAATCATTCGACTAAACCATATAATAAATAGCAAAGTTGTTTGGTAACCCATCAGGCAATAAACAATACATAATAATATGGAGATAGTGAACACTACACTGCTGTTCTATCGTTCCGTTTCATCGCTTAAATCAACTTCTTTATAATAATAAGGGATGGTAATACCCCCCCCCCCCAGCTTGAAAGCTTGCAGATCTGTTAATTTCACATGGCTGTATGCCGCGATCGACATGCCAATAATCACTATCAACACAATTGCTAACCCCTGTACTAGGGACACTATTAATATTAAGTCTTAAATGAAGAAAAAAAATTTTACGTATTTGGTAACTCAAAAAGATTTCTCACTGAGATGCGACTGGTTATTATTATAAGTATGTGAAAATGGATTATGCTCTTCGGGTATACTCAACATCCATTATACTCATAGAAGTGTAACGTTGCATAAGCTTGCTTCGGCTCAAAGCTTAGTCGATTTAACCAAGATTACTTGATTGTCTTTACCATCCCAATCTGACATACTGTATGTTCCAAACACTAATGATTGTACAAACTTTCTGTCAATGCGGCGCATACTGTAGAACACAACTAATCGAAATTGGACAAGCGTGGGAATTAATAAATGAAACTCATCGGATAAACAGCCAAAATGATAACATGCTGCCTGGATTTTATCTTTCAGCAGGTGGTTACAGATTTCGACAAATTTTCCAAGTCTAGGAACTTTTTGCGTAAAATCGATGGAGGTACCGTAATCGTACAGAAAAAAAAGAAGTAAAACGGAAGCGAGAAGCGACAGCCAGTCATACTGATGGCAGACGTCAAAAAGCGGTTAAGGTTCGGGTAAATTATTATATTAATATATATATATATATATTTGTTACACTTTAGATAACACACACGCTTCAACATATTTAATTATTTACCAGCATCTTACAGTAAATCTTTACGCTCTGGAAAGGTATTATTTTACTATTATTGCTGTAGCTTTACGGTCAATTATTGATACAGTATAATTTTTTATTAAAGACGTTCGGCAACAGCACAGTCAAAACTTAGTAAATTTAATGAAAATTAGATGTAACTGCAAAACTAAATGCACAAGCAATTGATGTGTTTGTTACAAAGCTTCAGTTAGTTTTAGTTTTAATTGTCATGTTTGTAATGGAAAATGTGATAATTTTAATTAACATGTTTGGGGTTTTACGCATTTAATTATTAAATTCAAAAACATTAATACCAATATTATAGTAACAATATCAGTTAGCTTTAATATTAATTACTTTAATAAATATCGATTATAATACTGTTACTAATTATACTATTCCGATCTGACATACTAATACAATACCACTATTACTATCCCATCCCGTGTATAGTAAGTACCTGGTCTGTAAAATAATACTGGTACTTTAGCCCGAAAAATACGGTAGTTGTCAAACAGTAGCTGACGTTACAACGTTTTACGGACTATTCGCTTAGCAATAATATCAGATCCTCTAGCTTCATATTGAGTCAATTGTTTTGCTGAGATGTTGTCGCAACGCTGCAGAATACGGTATCACACACCAAGTAAAGCAATACTTCGAATCCGCTTTATATTTTTTGGTGAGTTTGTGCAAAAAAGTAAATAAATTTAATTTAATAGAAAGCGGGGAAATGCTCGAATTTAATTTATTGATTTAGTTTTAAGGCTATATCCCGACCCAAAAAACATATAGTTAAAAAGTACAATCAATTTTAGACAGGCTTAAAAAGCTTTGATTACTTAGATTTAACTAACTTTTAATTAAATTCCTCAGTGAAGTGAGGGACAATCCGCATATATGTTTTAAGAATATAATCACCGTCCTTAAAAAATTCGTCAATTTTTTGGTTATTCATCGAAATATTAATGTTTTGATTTTTGAAGATGGTATCCCATTCATCATTTG